ACGGCAGAGATTTTACTGGGTAGGTATGAGGCAAGATGGGGAAGGAATGGTGCAGGACCTGCAGTACATGTTGTGCTAAAAGGGAACCCAAGTTTTATCAAGTTGGTGCACCAATGGAAAGAGTAGCCATTAACATCATTGGTCCTTTGCCCCAAACTCATGCTGGAAACAGGTACATTTGTGTGGTGATGGATTATTTCACTGTTGAAGAAGAAACTATCCGGACTTGAGAAGGAAAACAGTGAAGCCGTTAATAAAGTTACTACCACTAATGTTACTGCTACTGATAATGGGACATTTCCTGATGGAGCACACGAATTTCACGTGAAGCAGAAGAAAATGAGACAGAGACCAGCATGAAAGAAGAAACATCCTGTAAAATTAAGAGACTTTGTTGTATTTTAATTTTGTGTTTGTAAATTCTGTACATTTAATTAAGTTATTGTTAATTATCTATTGGTTTAATGTAAGTAGCTATTGTTTGGGACAAACAATACTAAGGAAGAGGCAGTGTTACGACAGCAGAAGTCACGCGACGCTGGGAGCATGTGCACTGGAGTTTCTCGAATGATCATGAAATAGTCCGGCAGCCCTAGTGTGTTCGAAACATCCTCTTTTTTAGTATACAAGCCTGGCAAAGAAAGCCAGAGATATAGATAATTGAGTCAAGCGAACAGTAGGCACCATAAGTAAAGTGTTTGAATCACTGTGATTTATAGTGTGTGCTATAAAAGTAGTTAAGTTTAAGAATGTACTGATTGTGAAATTACTGTGTGCTAAAAGTTTGTATCGAGAAAGAATAAACTGGTTTCATCAAGAAGGGACTTGTATCGCTGAAGTTTCTCGGAAGGAGTTTATATTGGAAATTAACAAACAAACATATAAGCAACACTATTCTCAAAAGTTGCTTCTCAAATTGAATTAGAAACTTTGTGCATAATATAGGTGGTTGAATTCTTGTTGTTTTTTAATTGCTTATATAGTTTTTCAGAAACAATAAGATTTGTCCAATATTCATTATTGGCATAATCCCTAACTGTAATTGTGAATACCATAGTAATCAATTATATACAACAAATGTGTTCTAGATAACTAAAAGAATGGCTAGTTTTACATCACTGCTAATTTACGTAGTTTGGTAAATCTTTTCCATACAAGGTTTTGTTTTTAGACCTCATGGCCTACAACATACACATAGGGTTTGAGAAAACTACAGATGACTGTACTTTTTACTTTTGTTACTTGAGTACTTATCCAGTAGATACTTTTTTACTCTAACTTATGTAAATTTCAGGATGGATACTTGTACTTGAGTAACTTTTTAACAAGTACTTTTACTTGAACTTTAGTAACATATTTTAGTACTTTTTACACCCCTGGTGGCAACATAGTTATAATTTTCTGATGTACTTACACGAGTATAGATTCCTTTACTGTTATAACAACAGTTTTATCAGAGATGCAAAAAAATACGTTTCTTGGTTATTAAAGAAAATATTTTTTTAAATAAATTTATGAAAAACTTTGCCTTTGACTACCATTGGGAATTTACTGTAACACATACATAAGTAATTAGAATGCTATTGCCTGTTTCAACTACATTGTAATCAACATATGCAATGTGTTTACAAATGCTATCCTCCCAATAATAATGAAAGCATAATTTCTTCGATAGTAGTATGAAGCTTTTAGAAATACTTTTATGGAACTATTTAACTGGCCTAGTCTCTCATGCTGACTGTTAATTACCCTGATGATTCTTTAGAAGTTTCCCGTAAAATTTTCAAACAACTGTTTTTTTTTCAGGTTCCAAAAGAACTGAAACTAGTCATTAACTGATCCTATATGATAATCTCACAGAAACATTGTGTTTTTTACTATCTTCAAACTCACCTTATGAGCATGTTCCTGAGGGCTAGAAAATCACAATGTTCCAAGTTTTCCACTACATAAAAAAAGTAAAACAGTTTTACAAAGCATTACAAGCTATATTATTATCATTATTCTTTTCCTACCAAGGTACAGGATTCTTCACATTTAAGAAATGAAATTTTAGTAATAAGAGTACAATTTAAGTTTGTTTTTACACTTCATTCCAGCCACACACCATTCTATATTTTGAAAACACTGATTATCCCGGCCATTTAATACATAATGAAAGGAAAAATTTGAATAATAAAAAACAAATGTAAAATGAAGTCAATAGAAACAACCTTAGTTTATGTATCAAGTACTCAATATTTAAATAATTTTTTTCAAGAAATGGTTTAATTACAATAAATAGTATTTCCAGGTCTTTTATTTAAAATACAATAAGAGGAAATGCATGTTCCAAAACATAATCACAATCTAATTTTCATGGTATAGGTAAAAAAAAAAAAACGATTTAGTCACCTTCTGCAACACCCCAAGGATACTTCCTGCCTCTCACTCTTTTACCATTGAATTCTATGGTTACATTGCTTCCCAATACAGCAAATGGTACTCGTTCCTAGAAAGAAGAGTCATAATTTTTTTTTTTTTAAATGAAATAATGCACATCATAACTTATAAAACAATTCATTAAGACTAAATTGTAAGCATTAACTATTTCTTATCTCTCTGTTTAAATCAAATTACAAAAATATGCATATACTTCAGGCATGGTTTTTTTAAACCTAAAACAAACCCTACACAACAGGCCTGGCATGGCCAGGTGGTTAGGGCGCTCAACTCGCAATCTGCAGGTCACGGGTTCGAATCCCCGTCACACTAAACATGCTCGCCCTTTTAGCCGTGGGGGGCGTTATAATGTAACGGTCAATCCCACTATTCATTGGTAAAAGAGTACCTCAAGAGTTGGCGGTGATGACTAGTTGCCTTCCCTCTAGTCTTACACTGCTAAATTAGGGCCGGCTAGCGCAGATAGCCCTCGTGTAGCTTTGCGCGAAATTCAAAACAAACAAACAAACCCTACAAAACAATGCAACAGTTTGATCATCATTTGGCATTATATCTTTCAACTACAGAATCAGAGGAATTAAGGTAATTGGTTAGTTACTCTATTAGCTCAAATAAAGTATTCCAATACTTCAGTTATATGTTAAATAGTACAGTTACAGATTCATACAGCATGCAAGTTTATTTTATCACTCTTACTTTCAGATGTTTCTGAATTTTAAGTTCTTCTTCATCTTCACAGTCTGGAAACTCATAGATGCGAATCTTTTCTCGTGCAATTTCATTTAGCACCTGAAAACAGAAATTGGTGCAGATAGAGATAAAATGATACCATATGTGATTAAATGACAAAAGCTTTTGTTTTGGCTGCAACACAATATATTTTTTTTCCTAGCAATGTTCAACTGCTGTTTATCCAACAGCTTACCGAGGATTACTCACAATTTATGAAAATAATGCCCAGCTCCCCTTTTGCTCTTGAAACTACTGTTACACCTCCATTCGTTAGTTAATTTTCAGTAAAACTTCTTTCCGAAGAAACTTTATCGATACAAGTCCTTTCTTAAATAAAACTGGTTTA